GGTCTACTTATTCATTGTGGTAATTCCGACTCCAGCTTCAGAACTCAGTTCAAGTGTCTTTGAAGGCCTCCTCTTGTAAAAGATACTGTGTTGTTCACATCTTTCTTCATGCCACTCTTTACCATACCATCTATGATCATTTGCTCACATGTCTTCTTTTCCCACAAAACTTGCATCTGCTTTGTATTCTTATGTACAGAGTCCATAAATATATACTACTCAATAAATGATTAGGAGTGAACATTGATTACTCCTTTGTTATTACTTAATGGATTTAGCACAAAGAAGAATGTGCTAAAAAGAATGGATCTAGTGGATATGCATGCTCTGATTATCTAATGATTTTGGTAATCTGTACTAGTATGCAGGGCATTCATGAATAAAGTTAACAGTGACTCTCCCCTATATATGTTCACATTCAATAAAAAGAATTTATATATAACTAAGTAGCATGTCCAGATGTATGCCAAGCCAGTTGAATACTTATTGTAAACATGCTATTATAGCTGAATACCCCCTTAAAGAATAATTTGTAGAGATGACTTTTCTGTCACAGAAAAAAGGAGGTTTACTAAATCTGAGGGTAGCACATGGAAACTTAAAGAAGTAGAAAGAACAATTCATTGCAAGAAGCATGATGAAATTCAAAAACAAACAAGCAGGAAAGATTTGTTGGTGCAAATTTGAAGTGACAATGTGAGATCAAGGAGCAGTGTGCTAGAGAGCCTTGAAGGCACAGCAAAGAAACATAGATTTGATGTGATGGGTAATAGGGAACCTCTTCAAGTTCTAGTCTAGGACAAGCTTAGGAAAAAACTGTTGTTTGCTTATGGCAACTCTTAGACTTTTATGTGTTTTCTAAAAGATCAAAGCAATTAGAATGTATATTGTGTAAGTATAGATAAGGAGTTTATATCTAGAGTTACTTCATAATCTAACCCAATTAAAATGCTAAAATTATTCAAAGACAGAAACTAAACTCCCCATAGAATAATTTCCTTATAATTGCTCTGTTGCTAAGCCCAATTTGTAGATAAATCTGTCTCTAAACCTTCATAAAATCTAATATTAATTGCCAGAAAATCATTGCTATGTTCAAGACATTCTATTTATTTGAAATTACCGTAGGCATATAGCAAGATCAAAACCACAAGCACTCTTTCCTGCCTCAAAAATGTATTCAATTAATTGTGATATGTCTACAATCTACACAAGGGAAGTTGAGGTGATAGGAAACGAGAAATGAAAACTAAAATATTATCTTTATATACTATAAAGCCAAAGTTTTTATACGGTCATGCCCTTTACCACATTTTTCACATTACCCATAAAAAATTAAACTTTGTGACATTGATTCCTACAAATAGATAAGCATTGAAAACTGATATTTCTTATTTTATTTTTATTTTGAGACACAGTGATGCTATACAGCCAAGGCTGGCCTGGACTCAAGATCCTTCTGCCTCAGCCTCCTGAGTAGCTAAGATTGCAAACATCCTCCATGGTGCTAGAACTGAATGGCACTTCTCTTTTCAATTAATCTTTTTCAAATCTCTGAAAATTTTAAGGGCCATGTCCCTTTGACAAAATGTCTGAGGTTAGCAGCTGTGGCACTTGAGATTCCTAGAACTCATCACTTTTACCAACTGAATAATTACTATATACTAAGCTCTTAACCTACTTTTTGTCTCTTCAGTGGCTTGTGATTGTCACAAATTGTTAATAATGTTCAATTTCATTTCCAGGGATTTTGTCTACATAGTCTCTCTTAGGAGTATCATACAGAATTGATTCCACTTACGATGGATTACAAAATAGCAATCGGGCTTGGATCACTGTCTTACTTGAAATACAAAGATAATAACCATGACAACACTGAATTAAGAAAATGGTTTTTTATTTTATTTTTTTTTTTAAGAAGAAAATGGTTTTTTAAAACCGAAGTACAAGAGTGAGAAAGTCCTCAGTTTTCTGGAAATAATTGAAAAAGGAATTTTCTGGCCTGATTTACTAAAATTGCCTCAAATTTTCACCTTGCTTGGCAATATATATTAAGTTTCAGTCTCACATCATAGAGTTCTATTTTTACATCCTAAAGCCATTGATCTTATAATTGGCTCATGAAAACAGCTTCCCTTCTGACATCTTCACACCATGGCATTTCATAAATTGGTTACCCAAATCAACCACTGCCACCTGAGTTAGCAATTACATTTATTTTTAGTAACAATATAACATAAGAGCTAATGTTAAACTTCCTGTATTTCATTCTTATTGTTTCTCTAACTTATCTGGCTCCAGAGCGTCTTGTTGTTTTTCAGTTGAACTAATTCAAACTGGAAAAAAATGAAAGTATCGTTGAAGAGGGAAGCAGTTTCCTATAGAAGGCAGCCGCTTTCCTTGGGAATGATTCATTGAGAACAGTGGCAGCTTCCAGACTTCACACATTACTTCCCCAAATTTGCTGAATTTAGCATTAGCCAGCTTGGTACTAAAACACTCAGAACTCAAAGACATGTGGGTGAACTCACATCTTCCTCTGCAGCCTTATTCCAAGAGCTCAGAGAGCTACTTCTTCTGATTAATTTGTTGTATTTCTACTTGTAAACACATCCTGGTGGCATTTATAAAAATCAGGTAGAGATGTGCCAGTTTGGGAACCATTCAAGTTTCTTTGTGATTATGGTTTGAATCATGTAGGCAGAATAATGAACTTGTGTTAAATTCTGGATTATATTCTATTTCTTCATTGTTTAATAGTATTAGTAACTGGCATTAAATATCCATGATATATGATACTATATGGGTATATCATATAATCAAGAAAACATTCTTCATCTAAATGAACTTATGATTCATTTATTACGAAGGTCATTTACTTATGAGAAAGATCCTACCAACTCACAACTCTACCCTGAATGTGTTTGGTTACCAAATGTCTGTAAGTGCCTATTAGATTGCAATTTACAATAACGATGTCAGACAGCCGATGCTTCTGAATTGTATCATAGCATACCATCCTGTTCCACTGATCTAGGTGCCTGTGACCACTGTCAGGAACAAAGGATATTGCTGTTAAAAAGTGTCTTCTTCTCTGACCACATGCTTTGCCACTTTATCTGATAGGATGCCATCTGTTCATCCTGCTGCCATTCTCTAGGGTAACTGGGTTAAAACTGACAGACATTAAAAATAGTCACATCACCTACTGTATTTTTAATTGACTGGATAGTGGTATCAGAGACTTTTCTCTCACAGGCTATTTGTTAAAATATTTTTTTGTGGTCTTGTTTTAAATTTAAATTTAAATTTAAATTCTTTTATGCTGCATGAGCCAGTCTTAGTTAAGAAAAATTCCCTATGGTTTCTTCTGCCATCTATAAAATGGTAGAAAATTAAGATATTTATAATTTAAAAAGTACTGTTGCAGTGAAAACCTTTATAGTTTTGTAGGTTAAGAACACTGGCTTTGGAGTCAAATTAACGTGGTTAGAATCCCAGCCCCACCTCTTATTATCTCTCTGGATGCAGGCAAGCCCTCTTACTGTGTTTAATTGTCCTCAACCATAACATGATGATAATAATTGTATCTACTGCATCAGGTTATTAGGAAGATTCAGTGAGAAGAATCAATACTGCTGGACATAGAATAAATCCGCAGTAAATATTAGTAATTATTATCAAGAATCATCCTGATTTCATATTAATTTCATATTAATACAGACAAGTCTGGAGAACAGAACATTTATTCCATTTCAGATGGTATGTGCTATATAAAGAAAAATTACAAATGAATCCAATTTCCCAAATATGCTTCATTTGATTTTAAATATATTCCATATCCACATTTTAAAGTGATCCATTTTTATGACTTTTCACCAGTGCATTATGCAGTGTTTTATTATTGCATATCATTTCCTGAAATTCTGTGAACCAAAATGTCATTGACAAACATACACAAAAACATTGCTACTGCCTCACAGAAAGCAAACAGAACTTTCATCTTACAACTTGCTTAAAAGCATAATTCATCTTAAAAATACTATAAAGCGCTTCTATAGATAGTAAAGCAACAATCTACAGTCAGTGTACTGCTTTCATTATAGCTGACACAGACACTCTAGAGGTCTTTTTGGCTTTCATTTTTATGCAGGCAAAATATTTAAGTTATAATTCATACAAAAAGGTAGAAGGAGAAAGAAAAGAAAGTCAAGTGAGTATACAGACTGTGGAATGAGAGACAGAAACTCACTCTTTGGTGATGGTGCCTTTAACTCAGCCAGCTGATGCCTCTTCTAGTCCCACCCACTGCCTCAGAAAAGCAGATGCCCTTTTCACCAACAGAGAGGCCTAACCAGCCAGATTCACTCCATTTATTCCCTCTACTATTTGTGGTTTCTGAATAGTAATTTCTCTTCTGGGTATGTTGTTTTCAGTATCATGAAATGAACTAATAGGAAGAAACTATAATAAATAAATATAGGCAAGGCAAAATAATGAACAAAATTACCATTCTAAAATCAAATATATATGTACACTTAGAAATATTCAAAGAAATAATATATTTTCTTCAAATATAAATTCACTGAAATTTCAATATTAAAAGAAACCCATACCACACTAGATTAGAAATCACACCCTATACACATCTTTGTAAAGACAGCATTTGATGTATTCATATTAGATTTTAAAAATCCCCCAAGGTAAGGGGAATTACATTGATTAGGACAAAATTTATTAATTAACCTGAGCTTCCTTAAAATACACTAAATTGATATGACTATTGTTTTATAATTGATAGTTTTTCTGTTGATTCAAATTCAATATTTTATCTTATCTTTTGGAGATACAAATAACTTTGAGCCAAAAAGAATACTCAAAGATATTTTTCCTACTCAAATTTCATGTAACTCATTATACATAGCACAGTCATATTCAAACAGTTGTAATGAAAGTCTCATGATATAGTGACTTTAAAAAAGAAAAAAGATGCAACTTACCTCTTCCCACTGATGTATGTATCTAATTAACCTTGAAAGTCGTAATAAACGCAAGAGACTGAGAATTTTTGTAAACCTCACAATGCGAAGTGCCCTGGCTGTCTTGTAAACTTCTGAATCCATTCCTTTTTCTACAATAAGAAAGATATAATCCACTGGGATTGATGAGATGAAGTCAACCACAAACCAGCTTTTTAAATAATTCATCTTGATCACTTTAGGGTCCAGGATGATTTCAGAACTGTCTTCATTGACAGTCCCAGTCCTAAAATTCATAATCAGGTCCAATAGGAAAACAGTATCTGATGCCACATTGAAAATAATCCATGGTGTTGTTGTTTGCTCTGTAAAGAATGTGATTCCAACTGGTATGATGACCAGATTTCCAACCATCATTATAAGCATTATTAAATCCCAATAAAACCTACAACAAATAAAAAAATCATATTTTAAGATGTAGAAAATAATCAGTCCATTCTACTCCTCTTATAAAAATATTAGTAATTTATGGTTAGATAAGAGAACAAAGAATTGATTTTAATGTAATTTCTTCAATGGCTGCACATTTAATTCTAAGGAAAACCAATACATTCTTAAACCAAGGCATTATAAAGAGCTCTAAAATTATATAATGCATAATACAAATAAAATTCATGAATAGGCATATCCCTGTTTATTTGCTGTGTGGTTAATGCAAAATATAGATTGAAACAAGAAAGAAATACAAGACTAGAAGATCTGCCTTTAAAAATTGAATTTCAAAAGACTCTTTAGAAGTACTTTGAAATACTTTTTGTGTCAATTTACCAAACATACATAGGAATAAATAGTAACAAACAGTAGAGTACTCTAAACATTTGATGCTACAAATTTATCTCTACGAGTATATATTTGGTCAACCATGTATTCTAACATAGCTTGTAGTTTTGTAGTACTCCAAAATTTATGTTTTATTCTTTCTTTGCTTGGAATAAAAGAATTTTAAGCAATTGGGTCTGATGCTGGAAAGAACTGAACAGACTGTGCCAGATGTGAAGCTAGAATCTACCTAAAATCTGAAGTTTTATCACTATTTCATTGAACAACTACTATAAATAAATGGTATTATTTTTCAAAACATTTTTAAATTTTCTGCTTTAATTTTGAACATGCTTATGATTAATAACCTCATTTTGAAAAATTCCTACCTCAACTTAAATTAAAATTTGAAGAAAAACAGGAACTTTATTCCAAGTTTACACAATTTAAATTAGCAGAAATGACTATATCATGTTATTTTCATGAGGTTTCCCTCAAAGTCTATTGACACTGCAGTCAACCACATAACTTATAAACTATTTACAATTATTACAATATATATGTACTTATAAAAGAAAAGACCTAATCAACTAACACAACTGTATAATCATGAAAGAGTCTCTGGAAACATGAGTTACTTTATCCTGGTTATAGTTTTTCCCTTCTGGTATTTTTGTTGTGTAAATAATCTAAACTTCTATGATAGAAATTTCTGTTAACCAAGATACATTTTGTTTTGTTTTAATTCTGCTACTTAGATTATTTGAGCTATACTTTGATAAAGTATACATTTGCTTAAACCTTTTTAAGTTATTGTTATCCTTAATTACGAATGACTCCTGAGATAAAAAGCAGTACTACACAAAATAATAATAGGTCCTCTCCCCTATCTCTTGGCCCAGGATTGTGTAAATAGGTATCATGTTGAAGATTTCATCACTACTTCTATTAAGACTTACCTGTACATTTATAAACCAATATACAAATATATCCATCATACATCATTCACTGGCAACTAAAATTAAATTTTTCCCTTTGTTTTTTTCCTCTCTTAATGGAAATCAAAACTGTGTCATTTAATATACTTAAAAACACAGGAGAGAGGTAGAAGAGATGTAATATTGTAATAGCTACTTCACAAAGCAATGACATCACTCTAAAATTGTGTGTTCTCTGAGAATTTTCACTTTTGGACATTCTTATCAGATCTTCTCTCTTGCCCTCCCTTTGACAGTGGCCGTTCCCCTGGGTGTCACACATAGCCCTTTCATCTTCCTATTCTACACATCTTCCTGAACAATATTGTATTTTCATCCATGTCTTTAATGATTCAATTTTGAGTAAGGACTCTAATGCTATATCTCCAGTTCACTTGGTGGCAAGCCTGCATAGCCCCATAATCTGTGATCTAGTGAATCTGTTCCCTTGCATGTCTCACACTCATCTCAAACAGCATGCAATATATACTTTGCACACCCTTTCCACGTGCATTCCTCACATGCTCTCTATTTCAGGTAATAGAATAACTTCATGCATGCTTTTCAAGCCAAAAATCTTGAAGACATTCCAGAGAATTCCTGGTCATAAATCTACTCAACCCCATATGCAATCAATCACTGAGGCTTGTTTGGTTCTACCACCTAAAAATATGTTATAAGATTATATGGTACCATTCATATACACAAATTGCATGTTTTAGTATACTAGCTAAAATGAAAAAAATTTAAAACCCATATAATGATAATAAACATAATAAAACAAATAATCCCTTTAAGTTTTAAAATAATTTATAAAATAAAATAAAAATATGTTGTATTCATTCATTTTCCCCTTACAATTCCCACTGCAGGTGTCCTCATTCCTACTACTATTTGATTTGGAGATTAGTTACATAAATTCTATAATCCTAAAGTTTTTACATGTAGATTATTATGGCACCAATTTATAAGGCTTTATGTATTGAAAAAGTAAATAAAAAGACATGCAAATCACAGGCCTCGCATATAATAAATTGTGGCACACAAAGCTCACTTATTCATTATCTGTTTACTCCTTTTTCTCTGGTGCTGGGGATTTGAACTCAGGTCTTACACTTTGTGACACTCCACCAGCCTTTTTTTGTATTAGGCAGTCAAGAGTCCATTAAAACACACAGATACTCTTTTACTTCTGTGACTGACATAGCTTTTTTTGAAAGAAAACTAATATTCCAACCCTCTCAGTCAGAACAGATGCATAGAATAACACACCATCCATTCTTTATTATAGCAATAATGTTTATCACACCATAGCCTTTATTATCTGTACTGAAGCCATTATAGATATCTCAGTATTGATATGAAGCTCCATTAATCCTTATAATTTCCTTCTTAAGTGTCACTGACTCTATTTTAAAGGCATAAACATAGATCTAGTTATGGGCTTTGTACAATATAACATTGTCTTTAGTTATGATGGATTCATTTCTTAGATAGCCAAAGAAAATATACAGTTACTACCCATTCTAAAAATGTAATATAACTTCCATTTTTATGCAATATTTATGTTCCTAAGAACTGGCTTCATAAGAATCTCTTATCCAACTGTCCAAGAGTTTCTCTTCCTGACTCTGCTTTGAACATTTATCTCCCTTTTCCTTAACTTTCAGTTTCTATGTCTTAACAGATTTTATTGCCAGTTTCTTTTTCTGTACAACCTCTTTTCCATACCCATTATTATCTTCCTGTTTCCAGCAGAATTATTTCTTTCTTAGAATCCCTATGAGTCTTTAATCTTTTTGATCAATTTGACACACCAATCCCAATCTAAAATTACCTACCTAACATGTAACTTGCCAGGACAAAAGCCATCAATGACTCTTTCACAATTAAGTATAAACAACTCTATCTGCTTGTCAAGGTACACCATGATATGGCCTTCTCCTGTCTTTCCAGCCTGTGCTTTGAATAAGCACTTCACATTTCAGGTAAGGATGACTCTTTTCAGGCAAGGATGTCCCTGCTGATACTTTGTCACCATTCATACCTATGTACACATTCACTAGATATTGTCATTTCATTCTATCCCTCTGCCTGTTAGCCTTCTTCTTACCCTTCAAAGCCCATTCTCAAGAGAATTTCATAAATGTCTGTGAGCTTCTTTATTTTTGCTCCAATAAACTGTATTTTTAGTGAAATTTTAGATTCATATCAAAATTGAGCAGAGTAGAGGGAGTTCTCATATACTCCCTGCTGTGACATATCCATAGTAAACCCCATTATCCACATCACCACTACAGAGGAATATTTATTACAAATGGTGAACCTACACTGACATGTAATTATCAACCAGAGTCCTTATTTTACATTAGGATTCACCCTTGGTGTGGTATATTCTATGGTTTGGACAAATTTATAGGGATATACATAATACATTATATATATATATATATATATATATATATATATATCTGAGTTGTTTCATTGTCCTAAAAATCCTCTATGCTCTTCCATTTCATTACTCTTTTCATCCAGTTCTTAGTTTTTACAACATCTAAAGCAACATTTGATGTCAGTATACTTCCTATTTTATTTATGCTTTTGTTACTGTCTTTATTTTCTCCAGCATTACTGGATTTGAATTCTTTGAAGTTCAAAATTATATCTTTCCTTATATATATTTTCTTCTATAATGTACGCAGCATCTAAGAAAGCAAATATTGGGACTATGTATTGATTTAATTTTGAAGGAAAACACACTTTAATGGGGAAGTTTAAAGAAAACATGTAGAATAAAACAATCCATTAGCAACAGAATACAATAAAGTAAGCAGAATGAGAAACAAACAGATTAGGAATATGTTCTTTGGTTAGATAATCAGCAAACAGGGTTTTAGATTGGACTCCTAATTTGGCACATTACAAAATTCATTGACACATTGGGACATTATAAAATCCCAAGAATGCTGCCCTTGGGAGACGGAATTTATAAAAGATCATGTTGGTATTTGAAATTAGATCAGAGTTCAAGTTGTAGCTCTAGTATTTGTATGATTCAAGCCAAGTTATTTAATTGACATGAATTTTATTTTCTTCTACCCTCAGAGCTGCTCTGCAGGAGATTACATGAAATGATGTATGACTAGTGTGGGGTACAGAACCTGTTATAGAGAAGGCACAGAGAGCTAAGCCTGAAAGTGAGTAGGTGCTCTGCTTGTTCTATCTTAGACTGTTATCTTTTTGGTATTCTAAATAAGGCTTCAGTTCTCAAAAAACACTTGTTATCAACATTGCTAAGATTCTTCACATATTTCTCCATCCTTATTTTAAATTTCCATCAAATCAAGGAACTAGACAAAGAGGTTGTTATATACAAAGTTCCCTACCCTGAAATACCCACAAAGTAAAAACATTCACTGGAAACCAGTATTCTTAACAATTAGAGCAGAGTAATAGTCTAGGTTATTATTTTACCTAACACTGGAAATAAATTTTTTAAAAATAATAAAAACAAATAATAAGTTAACTAAAATATTGTATCTAATTATAATTACTATAATATTATCACTAAGAACTCTAATCTTGGTAATAAAATAATTTTCAGAGGCAATATATTTTAGGTAAAGAATCTGTTGTCCCCTTATTGGCA